AATCGCTTCTTTCCGAGCAGAGGGAAGGCAGTCTTAGTCAAGCGGCTGACGAAACACCAGGTGTAAATGATTTGCCAAATGCTTTTCACGGATTCACAGCCTGATACACATGATCAGTGCTTTCGTCCAGGTTTCCCGGGCCGGTTTTGTCCTTGTCGTTCAGTGGCTGTTGTTCACCCGAAAGGCACAAGTGAAAAAGGGTCAACGATGAAAAACCTGTAGGCCGAACGTTGTTCCAAAAGAGCATAAGTAAGAATTAAGTCCCTCCGAGGCGACGGTACTCCAGGGGAAAAGATCAAGCACCGCGAGACGTGTTTCGTAGTCTGCGGATTTGAGGCCAGCAACCATTTCCGTAGCAGCTCTCTGGACAAGTTCAACGAAGGTTGCGTCTTTCGTGCGTCCCAGACAACTTGGTTGGCATACTCAAGGAACGGCATGACGCAGGCCCCACAAACTATTTGGAAGTCCATGCGATTATTGCGGGAGAAGGTGCACAGAAACATCCGTAGAATTGCGAATGAACTTTGGGCCGATTTTCCATGGTGCGCTGCGGAGGAAATGTTCGAATATAGCCAGATATCCAAGTCCCTTTGGGCATCTATTCTCGTGATATCTTCTGGTCGTTTCTCATCATGCATGACAAAGTTATTTTCTGGGTCTCCTCAAAATGAAATGTGGACTGGATACAGGCTCGCTTTCATGTCCAACCCAAAAGCATGGCCGTCGCCTACCTCTCATTTGTCAAATGTTGACGGACCATATATTGCTACTAACAGATGTGAATAAAGCTAAGTATGCTGAGCGCACATTTGAAAGCCGAAGCCTACAACGGAACAACAGTTTGAAACTACACAGGTCTGAACCGTTTATTTTCATGGTTCACCACACAAACATGGGTGAATTTACTAGTAACGTCATCCGCTAGCGATGGGTATTGACAGTGTATCGGGAAGCTTCTACCAAAACTGCTTCCTTTGTCTGCTGACCGGGCTTGTCTGCCACTGTGACTTTGCGTGTAAGACCGGTCATTGGCCCTTTCACTGAGATGAAACTGTTATGAGGATTCGAATGATTCCTTCTTAGGTATCCAAGACCTTTTCCGAGTGCGGAGCCCGAAGCAGATGCCTATCAGTAGTGGACGTTCGCAAGCTCTTTCAAATTTGTGAATGTTTCGGAATAGCTGTCATCCAAAGACATATGCTGACTGGCGGAAAGCTAAAGTAAATTTCACGTAGCAGAAAATGAGAACACAGTTTTGTTGGTCTGGATTCGGGTACCATTTTTTGCGAACCAATGAAAAACACGTAATGACCCAAAACAAAAGAAACATGACTCGAGCCAGCCTCGAGTAAGTATAATGCAACGTAATGACCTAGGAGATTCATTGACCCAAAACAAAAGAAACATGACTCGAGCCAGCCTCGAGTAAGTGTAATGCAACAAAATGGCCGAAAGTTTCACAGAGGACATGAAGTGGTGCAGCGAAAAATTAACAGAAGGACCATGACACATTTTGACATCCCTGAAAACCGCGATTTTATGGAAACCCTCAACAATTTAATGGAATTTGTCTAAATAATTCTTTGACAATCTCTTGAAATTCAGCTGTCCACAGCCGGCACGTCCGCAGGAAATTCCCAATAGCTATGGTGGGCCGCAAAGTAAACGTCTTTACTTGGCGTTTTCAAAAAACGTTAAGTTCAGCGATGAATGTTAGTATTTTGATTAAATGGGATTAAACTTTCGGTTGGCGTACGCTTCGGTTGCGGACAACAGACTACTCGTAATCAATTTGAAATTGTTTCTGGTTTTATCGTGCGTTTTCGTTGTGTACTGGACCTTCCAGAATGCCACTGCTGGTGTTGCACCCTTTGCTTTTTTCGATCTCAAAATGCGGTTTTCTCCAGAGATGTGATAGTACTGAACGCTGAATGGAAAGACGCTATCAGAAGTCAACCGCTAAATCTGTCCTTTTAACAAGCCCTTGACACCATCAATTACAAGCACGCTAGTCGCATTCAAGGTCCCACAACTTAATGACCAGGCGATCGAAGATTCAACGCTTTTCTTCATTGATCACCGTGAACGCGATCTACATTCAATACTTGGGTAGTTATCTAGAGGTTTTTTTTTTTTTTGCAGGTCGGCATGCGTAAAGTTACTATGAGTGACTCGAGTACATCAAATCAGCACTAAAACTCTTGTACTTAAAAATTGCTCTTCCAAACCAGCAATGAGCACTTCCACAGACTTCCTGACGTGCGTGGCAGACACTTAAGTCCAGTTCCTTAAAAAATGGTACTCATCTCACTCCTCGGCTGAGGAGCAACCTAGCGTGGGCACTCAAGAGGAGATTGCGAAGTTTTCTAGGCTGAACTCTGGTTCGCAATAACTCTTGGAACTCTTGTAACGACGCCAGAGCCGATAAAATGTTGCCCCGTACTTACTTTAATATTAAAAGTCTACATAAAATGCAACGTCACGAACTTAGATGTAACGCTTAAGGGGATGGCGGGTGGCCTACACTGGTTAGAGCAGTGTTGACCAACCAGTCCGGCCTGCAAGCTTTGAGCGGCAATGTCGTTCCAACAAAGTCCATGAGTGTTGGCTGGCACACAATTGTATAGCTTTCGTCTTTCTCCATTTTGAGGAGAGTAAGCTAGTCTACAGAGAACGAAGCAAAATTAGGAAATGTTCGTTGGGGTACCGGAATTAATTAACACCCTGAATGAAAACGCCGCCTTTCTGAATGCGGTTAGGATTATTCCGGGGCCCAAACAAACAGAACACGTTGTTAGGGTGGCGCAAATCTGTGTCTTCCGCCCAGTCCGATGGAAGCATCAGACGTGCAGAGCTGAGTAGCCTGTGTGACTGTTGTTGAAGGTCTAGAATCCTGTCACTCTACAAGCAGTTTAAGAGAAACGGTTTGCACCCGGACAAGATTGCCAATGCATCGGTTTTGACGGATATTGGATGTCTACAACATATGAAATGAAAACGGCCCAAACCAGACGGTTCCGTCACACTCGGGCCAACGGCAAACCTTTTCACCTTGGCCAACCTGATCCACGCTCACTTTGAGTGCACAAGCAGAGGAAGAATAAAATGGACAGAAAACAGAGGATTTAGCCTACCGAGACAAGTGCGTTGTCACTACGAACGAAGAAAATCGTTGTACAACACACCAACTATTCTAATACAGCAGTAATGACCTATTCTACAAAATGAAATACAGCCGCTCCACAAAAATTTGCCCAGGAGGTACGACTAGAGTGCTTGGAACCATTTCCTCAGAAGACTGGCGGGCGGTCGGGGACAAGCATCCTCATGGCCACGTCAGGGCGGCATTATCCACACCTGGTATCTTTTACTGGACACCTAAGGCTTCACCTCCACGTGCCCGCGGTTATACAGAAACAACTCTGTTCTTGTCTTAAAGTCACAAAAGGATAGTATAATGAGACTTAACGAATTAAATCCTGGGAAAATTACGATCATGATACGGCAATTCAGCGACTGGAGGCAGAACGTGGGGCGGCCACACATGTATTGCTCCACATGGGTCTGAAGAACGAGTCCATCGCGGACCAAACGATAGTCACATTCTGGTTAACCAAGCAGACGCTGTCGTTCACATATTCACTTTGTTTTGATTGGTTAAAACTGACCATTGTATACAAAAGTCTCTCCGAGCCGACTTCACTGCCGTCAGGTACATTTTGTCTTGACTCGCACAACTGTCGACAAACGTGGTAAAAGATCGCAAACTGCTACCAAAAGAGATGTCCAAGATGGACTCAAAAACACCAGGTTATTGACTCAAGCAAGTGTGACGCAGAGCCAGCTCCCTGGATATTGAGCGCGCGAAGAGCAAAAAGCCTACAGGGCGTTGCCGCTGCCATATTGTGAACGGTCAGGAAAAGCGTTAAACAGGAAACAGCATTTCCACCGTCGAAATTGTTGGTGATTTTGAAAGACAAGCAAAAAATAAAAAAATTCGACAAGCGCAAGTCAACCTCTATTCGTGGGGGCTAAGAGGCTCAGGCGGTCTTATGGAAGTATTAACTCCGCGGAAATTCCGGAGCAAACTGACCAAACTAAAACTCCTATAATCTTGTGCACGAGTCCGAATCCAAGAGGTTTTCCCGAAACGTAAGCACATGCGAAATTCTCAAAAGCGATCATTCAACGGATTAAACGTGTTTTGTGCTTATGGAAAAAGAAGACCGTTTCTCACCATCACCTTCACAGAATTGGAAGCGCCGCCGAGGAAATGGCGGGAACTGCCCGATAACAATCGACGGGACACGGCACATGGGTTGCATTTGGCCAGATAAAAGACTCCTACCGATGCAGGGATATAGATGGTGCATTGCAGCCTAAGCTACAACGGTACAGCGGACGATTCCCCCCGTAATACATTGGCGTTCAGCATTTCGGTGGTGCTTTTGGACTGTCAATAAAATGACTGCAAGCAATTTGCTAGTCTCTTCGAAAACTCGCAAGTGCAAAAAGAGCTTGTGATGTGTACACTTACCAAACTGCCCTCAGCCGAAACATCACTCCCGCTAGAGGGTGAGGAAGGGACTCTAATGTTTGGTGTGGTAATCCGAAGACATAATATATCACTGGAAGACGACCTGTATCTCGTATAGAAACTGAACAAGGTACCTACAAATCATTTGTTCACAAGCTTGTTACTGAAGTGTGCTATCAGTGACTTCCAGCAATAATGCATATGACATTAGTAAACTTGATTGGGTGTAATCTTCGTGAGGAAGATTGCTTCGACATAGATTCTGACGAACGGGCCACCCATCGTACAAACTAGGTGAAGCACCGTAAATACCAGATGTATTTCTAACAAACATGGATGTTCAAAACAAATCAGTGAAATTTAGAGAATCGTTCGGATGCGGTGGATGTCGCATGATCATTCTTGATATATTGTGCCAACGTGCGGAAAATTTAATGAAAACCCACCAATAGAAAATGTAGGATTAAGTTTAGCACGCTATCGAGCATCGTACTAATGTCTTAAGTGTAGAAGTAAGCAAAATTTCACTGTGTTACCGTTCTAATCAGACACAAGGCCGACGGCAAGATTATAATTTTTCCTCATAGTGAACGACAAATGGCGCGCCAGCCTGCGGGTAGTTGTAAGTTACCGAGGCAATCTGTCAACATGGCTTCAATCCCGGTAACCTGGAAAAAGGTCACTCTTACACCCGCAATAATGTACGGTGACCGCGCGCCACCAGAGAGTAGTCGGCTCGTTATCCTCACCAATACACAATGCAAAGTGAGGGAATTTATCCTGATGCAGCTCCCTGAAACGCTTACCTGCGACCGACATCGCGCCACATCTGACCACCTCGGCGTCACAAAAACGTCCGTTTCTGTGAACAGCTCAGCTCAAGCTGGAGCCGGCCAGCTGGTCCAGAACGCCATATTTTCGGATCACGCAAATGCCCGGCCAGCTCAGAACGCCATATTTTCGGATCACGCAAATGCCTCTATTTGAGGTTTTCAGGTTTCACTACTACACACATCAGATGTGCATGCACCTCATGACGCGAGATTCTACTTACACTAGACTTTCCGGGTCAAAACTGGTTCGATTTGCCTCTATTTCTCCTTCATATTTACCGTGTCTCTCAGAGCATTATTCCCCGGTATTTTTTTGTTCCACCAACTGTAATGATATGCCAGACGTTGTGACGGAAATTTGCTTTAAACCAACATCTGCCCGGCAAAATTTGGAACACTAGACCGGCATACCTGTCCTAACTGCGAAAAGTACAGAAGCACACTATTCTGAAAACGCCTTCATAATATGTGGTGTTGTAGAATATCGTGGAGCATCCAGGTTGGGTAAAAATGGATCCGAATGACTTGCAATTTAGTTCTTGGAAGCCGCATACTACGATTATGCTTTGATAAAGTCGTTAAGGTCTTTCTTATCCTTGTTGGTACTCTAAAATTTTAAGGTGCTGCATGCCACAAAGGTTGGAGCCCTGTTAGGATGCACCAACCGGTTGGTTTGTACTGAAATGCAGGGGGACTGTAAATGAGCCGAATGCTCCTATTGTACGGCCATATCAATGTGCTTCAATCTAGTGAAAACTGCCAGATGTGCTCGATCCGTAACTTTTGAACTGCGGACTGCGCACAAATACTCCCCAGAGACATTCATACTGAAACCTCCCTCACATTTCACCTTAGTGAACAATAGATGAGACGTAAAAAATGCTACCTAACTCAAAGCCGCGCATTTTTTGTAGGAGCTCATTTTCACATGATTGCTTGGAAACGCGCGAAATGACTTATCCGAATAGTTTCCAATACCGGTTGTACCCTGTGACTCAGAGCTTTGCGATTCATTCAATTGATAATGATTTTGTTTGGTGACAAAACATGGGAGGCGGTACCTCAACCCATCATCGTTTTTGCCTTTCGGATGAAACGGAATGAACCTGACAACCGACGAACACTGCTTTCATGGGACGGTAGACTGGGGTAATTATGTTGCGCCAGTGCATCAACGATTCATTTACTGAGCCGGTTGGAAAGGTGTTGGGGCCCGGGGGTAGTCAGTTGTGGGCGCACCCATGCAGGTTGGGTAAAGGGAATGAAGGATAAGGCTACTATGTTAAAATGCAGCTTTCACTGGGAAAGGCCTGTATATTTTTGCAGTACGATGTGTTACTTTAATCCTCTAGTCCACATTTTGTTGGCGCATGGTAAATATTTCGGACGGATGGTTTCGATTTTATTTTTTCATTTTGTATTTGCCTTCACCTGCTTCAAGTTAATCAGTCCTTAATTAATCGAGTAAAAAAACGTCATCCACTTATGTGGAATCGTTTTTGCCTTCCGGAAGAACATGCTTTAAACGCACGAAAATTGACAGCGACAAAACTGTGGCCGGCCTTTATCCGTCGGTCAGAATCTCGGCAATTCTTACGAAAAGTTCAGACCACAAAGCATTGCAGATTGAAAAGGAACAAAAGAAAGCAGTTGGAGAAGCAATCGGAAATGGAAGGCGTTGGACTCAACAGTCACAACGCAAGAAACATCACGAGTGGGGCAATTTATTCTCTAAATCTCGGTCCCTCAATTAGCCGGCATATCCACAGCCACCTGATAAATGACTAATTATTATGAGTATTCTTACACTCCACAGGACAGTATTTCACGCTTTTCACCGGTCAGACAAATATCGATGCGGCTCGAATCACTTCTGACCATTTGCACAGCATTACTACTTACATGCAGCCCAAAATAAACCTTTTCCATCGGTTTCACCACAAACCTGAGAATCGAATGCCAAACAGTTAAATCACCTCTATCACCACATTTTCAAGCAACCCCACCACATCCATCAAGCTGATCATCCGGATCCTACGAGTCCAACCCAGATTGCTGTTTTTTAGTATCTCTGACGCTGTAGTCAACGCATGAGAAAATAACCCCTCTCAAGGCCTAAGCGACTGTATGGCAGGTCTTACCCACCAGGTTACCATGCTTGATGCGCTTGTACCCTCCTGCCTTCCCCATGAATTTGGGGGAAGGATGGGTTTTTCGCGGCGTCAAAAGATGAATAGTACTACGGCTGCGCATCAACCTACTGCGCAGCGGAACAGTCATGTGGAACAGAGGCGTGAGATTATGCCCCCAAGTCTGAATCACGTCCGATTTCATCATGTGCCGGAGAAAGGTCAAATAGGGACGGTAATACACAGTTCCTTCAGCTCATCTTCTTGTTTTGTGACTATAACGCAGTAGCGTCAGGGCAGGTGAAGAGATACAACAAATAGCTACACAAATACTTATTCGTTGTCAATGGGTGACCCACCGTCAGGCATCACCGAATTACTACGGCCGGAATAAAAGCACATGCGAAGTCATTTGCGAACTCCTGGTAATGCGTAAGCCGA